TAAGGTACAATTTTAACCTTATATGTTATTGGATTCATTTAAATCCTTATATTTCTATTAATTTCAAATGAAGCCCTCTGTTTCAATTGGTTTTCAAATTAGCTCAAATTTGAATTTTATTTAGTCTCCACAGGTTCAGTTGGACAAAAACAATCTCTGTGGGCATATTCATATGGTAGTAAATTTATTTGGGTCTTATTATCGAAGTGAACTGTTGGGTTTGATTATAGAGGACTCAATTAGAGTTAGGCTTGTGTGTGCTCAAAAAAAATTTTTTTTCCTCCTTTTTTGGGGTCTCAACAAGGACCTGATGCGTTAGGTTTTTTTTTTTTTTTTTAAGAATCTTGAAATCTAAAACATAAAGATCCATGGTGCCAAGAAAGAAACAAAAATTCAGTCTAAAAGGAATTTTGCTTCTTGGGTTGGCTAAATAATTTCTTTACAACATCAGATATTCCCAATTGAGTATTATTTCTAGGATTTAATTATATTAACCATGTAGGTGGAACACAAGTGACAATGTCCTTAAAAGCAATAAATAGTTCTTTGTTGAAATTTCCTCGAAAATCAAGCAGCTTTGCCTCTTTAGAATCATGATGCAGGCATGGTGGGGTTTGTTGGTTGGTTTCATTTTGAGGGCATTTTGTTTTTACAGGAAACAACGGTCCCCGAACTTGGGTGACAAAAAATTAAAGCACACTGTTCTCAAAGGAAAGCAAGTTGCACTCCAATCACACAATCAACAAGCAATAGTTTTATGCACTCTTACTTACACAACTAACCACACATTCGGCTAAATTTAACTAATCATCTATTAATATGTATTTCTTAGTCTACTATTAATTGAGTGAAAACTATACTAGTAACTATTATGAAATACTGTTTCTTAATTTCTTAATTAACTATTAACTGTCGACTGATAATCCGATATCGATTGAGATTTTACCGTGTTTTGACTTGAACCCTCATCGGTGATGATAGCATCACTATCATTCGTGTTTTCTTCTTCGGTTTCCTGAAGCTGCAATGTAGACTCCAATGCCCACACGATATCCCTCATTGTCGGACGTTCATTTCCACGCTCACGAACACAATTCTCCGCGACCTCACTGAACTTCTGCAAGGCCATCGGAGCAATCTGGCCTGCCAGAGACGGGTCCACGATTTCATCAAGGCTTCCATTTTGATAACAACCATGGGCCCATTGTACCAGGCCCACTTTCTCCCCCGAAAGGCTCTCGAAGACCGGAGGCTTGCCGCACAGCACCTCAAATAAAACCACACCAAAAGAATACACGTCAGATTTATCTGTTAGTCGCTGCAGACGAAAATATTCTGGGTCTATATACCCGAAACTACCCTTCACCATTGTGCTGACGTGGGTCTCGGATGTGCTTGTAGGACCCAATTTCGACAAACCAAAATCTGATACCTTTGCCACGTAATTTTCGTCCAATAATATATT